TAAATGGGATGTGCTTGGCCCCTGTGAGGCGCAGACAGAAAGCGGGTGCAGCTGAAATGCTGGGTGGTATTATGCAAAGAGAGCAGAGAGGAGGAGAGGAGAGAGGTGCTGACAGTGGAAAGAGGGCCAAGGGGCCATGGAGAGGGGCTGTGGACAGGAGGTGCTGGGGGATTTTAAGCACTGCCACTGCAGCTAAAAGGCTGGTGGGGCTTGGCTCATGAGAAACAAGGTCATGTCATTAAGTCCCCATCAGTGAGGACCAGTGGTGTCAACCTGCTTAACTGTCCCACTCAAATCCCACAATGCCCTCTGGGCTGTAGAGCCCTTCTACTCAGATAAGAATTAGGAACGGTCCAGGAAGGACCCCCACGAGAGAGACTGTGATGTTCTTCTTACCACTCTGCTACCAGGTGAACACCTGGGAGCAGCTCTTGGCCAGAAGGAGCCCAGGAGTGGGTTGAGGCTGCTCAGGGAGGCCAGGGCCCTGGCCCTCTGACTGGGCTTCTGCTCTGGGTCTACTGGTCCGCTTGGTGTTCATGGAGAGACTGCCCTGGTGGCTCATTTGGAAATTCACTGCCCGCCCCCCACTCCCAACTGCCCCAATGACAGTTTCCGGCAATCAGCTGTCACGGTGGGTCAGTGGGACGGGTCCTTGAGGCACTAACCATGGGGCCTGCACCTCAAAGCCAGACTCCAGAACCAGTCCTGCCTGCCACCCCAATACATCACCACTGTGGGCCAGGCACGCACACATGCCTCTGCCCTTGTGAAGACAACCATTCTGTGGGGCAAGAGCCATCAACATAAAACCAGCTAATAAATAGAAACTGTGACTTCTTCCCAAGCCAAATGGAAGAAGAAAAATATATCAAAGTGGCTAGTTGTCTATTAGCCCTGATTTATATTCTACTTTAATATCTCTTCTAAGGAAATGAGAGGCATAGTTTCATCAAATATAATCATTTATAGCTTCTAAAGGGGAGACAAAGTGCTCTATGACAATTACTTGGGCCTGCAGATAGAACTGGAAGATGTGTCATGACAGCGATGGCTTGTCCAGCAGTCACCTCGAGGCAGGTGGCCAGAGTGAGGACCCCACATAGCCTGGGAGTCTGCAACAGCGCAGCCTACGGCAAGGGACCCAGCAAAGGGCTGGGCTCACGGGCCACAGCTTTGGAGGCCAATCTGGGCTGTGCTCCTGATGACTCCCTCCAGCCCACTCTTTGGCTTCTGCAAACCTCTGACAAAGGTGTGGGCAGTGAAATTCAGTTGATGTGCATCTGACCCAAATCTACCATCCAGTGTATCGGCCCTCCTGGAATGCACATCTCACTCCCTTTGTTCCATGGAAATTAAGCAGAGGAATCCTCTTACAATCTTATGAAATCTTGGTTTCCTTGTCTAAGTGCCACAGAGTAAACCACCCAATGTCTAGGGTCCCAGAACGAATTTCCTCATCTTCCGGGTGTTCACACAGGGAGAAGGCATTAGGTGGGAACTGTGCCAAGGTTGTGCTCATTCTTCATTCAACAACTAGTGAACGCAGGCACAGAGCTAGGCGCTGAGATACAGTGGGGGCAGGACAGATCCGGTCCCAATGGCAGTGACATTTTTCATGGGGGAGAAAGACCATAGACAGTTACACAGATATGTCAGCCAGGTAAGGAACTCAGGGTCACAGAGAAAATAAACCAGGCTAATGTGATGGAAAAACCTTTCTGGGGGAGGGTATGATCAGGAAAGGCCTCTCTGAGGAGACTGAGGCCTGAGTAATTCGTAGGAGGCAACCACACAGATCTGGAGAAGGATATCCAATGCAAAGGCCCTGAGGCAGGAGAGAGTTCAGTGACTTAATAGAGTAGTGGTTCTCAAAGTGTGGTCTGAGGAACCTTGGGGGCCTCCCAGGGTCAGAACTACTTTCATAAAAATAACAAGACAGCATTTTCCTTTTATTTCCATACTCCCAGGAGTACACAGAGGAGTTTCCCAGAGGCCCCATAAATACATGCATAGGAAGCAGGAGCAGACACGAGAATCCAACTGTCTCTATAAAGCCAGATAAATACTTAAAGCATTTATCGGTTTTAATTTCTAATCTTAAAATACCAATAGATATAATCCATATAAACCAAAGCTCTTGGGATTCCTCAATATCTTTTAAGATTATAAGGGGGTACTGAGGCCGAAATTTTGGCAAGTGCTTACTTAGAGGAGCAGTGGGGGTGGTATTTGGGATGGAGGAGCTGCGTCTGAGAGGCCAGCTGGAGCCAACCGCATAGTGACCATAGGATCAGAGTGAGAGATCTGGATTTTGTTCTAAGTGCAACTGGAAGCCATTGGAGGGTTGCAGGCAGGGGCTTGGATCTGATTTCTGTTCTAGAAAAATCCCTCTGGCTGAATAGGAAGAAGGGTGAGACCGAAAGCCAGAGATACTGAGGATGCTGTTGCCATGATCTAGGGAGAGATGCTGGTGGCTGGGAGGGGGTGAGAAAGCGTGGTATATTCTGTGAGCAGAGGAGGCCAGTGGGTGTGGGAGAGGGAAGAGCAGGATTCAGATGATTCCGAGATGCTGGGCTGACTACTGAGACAGCAGATGGTGAGGAGGGTGGGAGCCAGGGAGAGCGCCCCGCCCTCTCTGAGTCTCAATGGTTTCGACTTGCTCTTTAGGTCACATCTCTAGCCCAGGCCAAGGCAGGAGGGGTGCGAGGCCTCTCTAACCAAAGGCCCAGAGTAGTCGACCTGGAAAGCATATCTGTGAGCATGTCCCTACCCCAGCCCACACCTGAGCGGCACTTCCAGGGGAGAGGCAGAGCCAAGGGGTGGATGGCTACTTTCGAGCAACTACCTTTGATTTGCCAGTTCCCCTGGCCCCACCTCACATCCCAGCCCTGGGACCAGCAACAGGACGCTGGGCATTCCAGCTGTGCCGACCCCTCTGCCAGGCAGGCCACTGTAGACCTGGCCACACCCCAGCCGTGGATGACCCTACAGTAACCCTGGGCTCCGGCAGGGTGGGAGAAGTAAGCAATAAGTCATTGTAAAGCCTGCTGCAAAAAGAGAGATGATTATGCAGATGTTGAAGAATGTGACATTTGCCTCTATTTATTTACTTACACTCCCGTTTCAGAAAGGATGGAGCGGAAATAAGCCCAGGGCATTTTTCCTTAACTCATTAGAGCCCGAGCTGAAAGAAGCTTCAATGACCCTAAAGAAATGACTTTTTAACTAATATAATGTTATATATCACCTATATCTCAATAAAAAGTTACAAAGTGGTGCTTATAAATTTATAATAACATGACAATTGTGTATAAAAAGAAGAGAGCGAGAGAGAAAGGAAGGAAGAAATGATATTTTTAACCAGGCTAATCTATACTTAGTTAACCTAGATTCATGGTCATCACTTATATTTGCGTAGTGATTAGCTCTAAGGAGCATGAAGCAACCTGGAGAATGTGTAACAAAGAATCCTTCAGACCCCAGAGCAGGCGGAATCATCTGCTGTTTCACAGCTGAACACAGGCACTGCTACCATCCGCCTCGTAGCCTAACACTGGTTTTAAGAATGAAAACAGCCCTGGCTTGGGTGGAAGCGTGAACTGGTGCACTTTTCCCAGAACACACGCTGCGACTACATATATCAGGATGAAAAGCCTCCCCTTTGACGGCAGGTCCATTGCTGGGAATTTATCCCACAGACACGTGAGGTTTGCACAATTGCACAGATACCCTGAGCAGGTACAAGGTGACACTCACTGCAAGAGCTCAACACTGAAGACGACCCAAATGCCATCAATACCAAATGTTATAAAAGATTTTCTTGGTTCCTCTGCATCAAAAATACTAACAGTTAACAAGCACGAAGTTGACTTATATGTGCTAACATGTAACGCTGCCTTATTAAGTAAAACGGCCAGGCAGAATCACATATACAACATAATCCCGGTGTAAAAACAGACAAGCAAAGACATACATATGACATATAAAGAAACATTTCTGAAAGGATATGTAAAGAAATTGTTAAAAGTTTCTAGGGCCAAGTAGACTTATTTTTCATTTTATCATGTCCTGTTTGGATTTTCAAATATCATATGCTTACAGTATATATGTTTCCAAAATGAATGAAGCAAATCAAAGAATGAAAACAGAATGATTCATGGGGTGGAAGGGAAACAAGGGCCCTGACTTTGGACAGGTTCTTATGGCTGAGTTTTTTCTTAAATCGATAACTGCTTTTGAAAACATTTTTCAACATTTGTGACTGAAGTTTGAAACCCTAAATGTGGGGAGGTTAAGTTGCAGGGGCCATAGGGCCTGTTTTCTGAGGTTTTACAATGAAGAGCAAAGCCGTCTTTTGAGGGATGGGTGTGCAAAGGGAGTTACTTAAATCAGAAGTGTCAGAACAGAAAGGGGAGGGCCTGCCCTTCTGGAGAAGCAGTTCTTCCTGCTCCACCAAGGCGACCTTGAAGTTTCTATTCATGCTTCCTTTTTGGGAGAGGGGAGGAGGGGTCAGAGCTTTGGTGAAAGTGGTTAGAGAGGCTCCCAGATAGGAGACACTGGCAGCTGCCCATGGCTGGCGGGGCCCTCTCCTCAAGTCTCACTTCTTTAGGGGGTTTGCAGCAGGAATCACACACTCTTTCTAGTCACCCTACAAGGAGAAGGAAATTACTCTCCTACAACCTCATTACTAATCACCGAAGTATTTCCAAGAAATTTTCAAGAAACTTCTTTCTTAATTCTGAGAAGTCCTTCCACATCCCCAACAAATCTCTGGAAAACCAAAGCCAGGCGGAAGAGCACCAAAGGGAAAGCCAAGATTTCCTTCTGTGGCTTGTGTTTAATCTTGTGCTACACTTTGATCAATTCTAAGAAATTTAGCTGGTGCTTCCAACTGGCTGGATTTCCAAGAAGGGAGAAGCAGCTTACACAGGCTCAATAGAGGGAAAGCCCTGGACCCCCAGGAGGGGCACAAGTGGTGGCACGGGGTGGGGCCGGCTCACCTGGCACCTTGTCCACGGACGCGAACACAGAGCGCTGCACTGTGGGGTCACTGCTGCCTCGGCGGCACTGGTCGTAGAATCGGAAAGGCAGGTGCTGGGAGGAAGAGGAGCCGAGTCCAAATCCCAGAACTTCAGTGGTCGGCTGGATCGGAAGGTCCAGGAGGGCTACGTTCAAACAAACCCATGGTCAGGCTCAGTGCATGGGACGGAAGTCTAGGTGAGGAGACTTTGGGTGGGGCAGTTGTAGCTGGAGTAGCCGGGCCCTGCCAGGCACATCCCTTGGGCGATGCAAGCAGGCAACTGACAGCCTCAAACTGGGGAAATCAGTGTGACAACCACAGGTCCAGCCTGAACCTCAAAACATAGCTGGCGAGGGGTTCAGGGCTGGACGCAGGGCCAGGTCCCACCTAGGTTGCCTGGTTTTCATCCATACAGGCCAAGGCGTAGCCAGAGGTACAGTTTCAGATCCCAAGGCAAATGGGGCCAATGCTGCCCTAAAAGTTCACATATATGTGCGCCTGGGGAAGAATGTGTGAGAGAGAAGATACACGCATGTGTATGTGTGTATTTATGAGTGTGTGCTTCCTCCCTTCCATAAACAAATCTCATGATATAGCAATTTGGAGGGGCTTTTAAAAATCAATTGAAGAAATACTCAAGGCATTAGTTCTCACAGCCACTTTACGGCATAATTCTCAATTTTCAAATGAAATATTTAGCCTTCATGGCAGCTGTGAGAAACTGCTTTACATTAAAAAAAAAAAACACCTCTGAAAATAAATCTTAAAAGAAAGGACTGAGTGATTTAAGTCACTTTGCACATTACAAATGCTTCTGTAATGATTTTGCAGGCCAAGTTTCAGCTAAGTGAGAAATAAGATGAGGACTATATGGGATGCAGACCTGCACAAATCAACGAGGCATGTGCAGGAAATAACAATCCACAAGGGCCAGAAACCCCGCCCTCTGCGTTTTTATTTTTAGGTAAAGAAAGCTCTTCCCCCCCCCCCCCCACCCCCGGGGCTGGAAAGCCTCCCAGAGACCACACCAGAATGAACATCAGCGCTTGAACCGAAAGGCGTTAAGTGTCTTGAGAAAGACTTTATAATTTTAGTAATTGATAGCACACCTTTACCCCAAGGAAAACACCATGCCTTCCACCCTGACAGGAACGCCCTCATCTCAGTGCTTTTACAACTAAGCTGGGGCATTCCCAACATTGGGCAGCAGGGGGTCTCCTCACAAATTCTCCACATCCCTGTGAAATGCAAAAGGACTTCTGATTTCAGAACTGGGTCCTGGCCCCTCACTAAGCAGGGTGAACTCTCATGAGAGCTGGGAAGGGATGGGCAATAGAGTAGGAAGTTCTGCGTTTGGGTTCTTCCTGTGTGATGTTGGACAAGTCACTGAGCCTCAGTTTACTCATCTATAAAATGGGCAGAACAGGCCCTTCTAATCTCAAGGGTTGTTTTAAGAATAAAATGTGGTACAGGAATGTTGAAGCGTTTTACTAACGTAAGCTAGAGAATATCCACGTGCAGGAGTGAGAACAGCTGACCCACTGACGCCTGCCTGTACACCGCCTCTGCCTTGGTCGGGGGGGCTCTCCTTCTCCTCCACGAGGCCCTAGAAACCCTCTAGAAATCAAGTACTTAGGAAATGGGAAATTCTGAGCAGATTCTCCATCCTCTCACCAAAACACAATTAATGCCTGAAATGTATGTGCCCTTTTCTGGAGGAGTTACGGGGGTCCTCAAGGTCAATGTGAGAACCACACTGACAGCCCTGTGGCTGCTTCTGCCCCTGAGGGCTCAGAGGACACTGTACCAGGACCGAGCACTCACCAGCTATCCTCTGCATCTTCATGCGCCTCGCCTGTATGCGGCCCTTGGCCAGGCGCTGCTTGGCGATGATGCAGCGGATGTGGTCCGAGAAGACAAAGGTGGCCTGGAGGATGGGGAAGGGCTTTGAGTGAGGGCTGGAGGCAGGCTTGTGGATGGTGATGTTTAGGGCACGGCTGTCATCTTCCACACCAGTCACCTGCATGTCCTGCAGGAGGAGGAGGTGAAAGAAAATAGTTCATTAGGTTCAGGAGGACGACTGCTCAGAAGCCTTGGGATCCCTGTCTCACCTACAAGCGACCCCCGCCCCCAATTTCAACTTTGCTTTTGCCCTGAAGGAGACCATCAGCTTCCCAAGTCTAAGACAGTCAAGGAAGGACACAAACCAGATCAGGCCTAGCAAGAGAAGACAGTGTGGGAAGCACAGAGCGTTCACCAGGAGCAATGCTGGTTTCGGGGTGGTACCGTCCATAAGAGGACTTGAGTCAGCCTCTTCAAGGGAACCCAACAGTCAAACTCCAACATTCTTACTTCTAAGAAGCCAGTGATAACAAACCAAAATTTCTATGCCATCTGGCACAATGTTAGATTTATTGACTCATCTACAAACCAATTTCTTCCTGATTTCTCTTAAAAAGGGGGCATCATTAGCACCCATTTGTATGTCTCTGAAGAATTTCTGGTTCCTAAAGGAAAAACTAACTCCGAGAAAGAAGGGAGGGTCACTTAGCAGGCATTTGAAGAACACTGTGTTTGAAAGCTGGAGAAGGAACTCACACATAGCAAGTGTAATTAAGGATAAATCCAATCTAAAACCTCAGGATGGATTCCGTGTAAAGAATCTGTTTCCCACAAAGGTTTGAGGTGATTTAAGATAAAAGCCTGAGACAGGAGCTAGACAGGAACGCCAGACATGCTATGGGAGGCGGGAAAGTGCTGGAAAAGGCTCATTAAGATGGTTGCTGTCCATAACATTAAAGCTGCACGGGCTCTTTGGAAATAATACCTGCATGGAAATGTTGCTGTGGGATTAGATGAGATATTACACATTTAAGACGGAGAGTTTGGCACGCAGTAACGGCCTGACAAATAGTGGCTATTGGAAGACGACCAAAAGAAAAGGTTTATGTGGCTTTCATTGTCTGATGGAGGACATGTATTAATCCTTCGAGGGAGAAAAACACTTTCCTAACACTAAATTCTAAAGGAAATTGATCACAAGCCTAGATAAATAAGAAGCACTAAGTCACCTAATGGACAACCACTTACATGGAAGTCTTTTTATAAATAAAAGATTCTTCATATAGTTCTTTCTCACATCACCCTTGGCAAAAGACATTTTTTAAATAGAAAGATCTTGCAAAAGAGGAGGTTGGGGAAAAGGGTGCAACAGTATCTTTAAACACGGCATGGCACACTGCCAGCAGGTCACATTTGTGGAGAGGCGGATGTGGGTCAGCCTGAGCAAGGCCTTGCCAGCAGCCAGGCTTGTCCAGCAAGGAAACGACCTGCCTCAGAGCAGGGCAAGCCCCAGGCCTGTCAGAGTGCACTGGACATGCAGGGACAGGGGCCTGACGGAGATGTGAGCCAGAAGGCTGTTTTCGACTCTTCCGGTTCTACGTTTCATTCAGTGAACCAGCTGGCATTAGTAACCTATCAGAGAGACAAACATGGAGGAAACCCAAGCCCCCACTCGGCTTTTGGCAATCTGGAGCCTAGCTCTGCTGGACAGGGGTGGGGAGAAAGGAACTGTTACACACTGCCAGTGTAAACAATCATTTCAGACAAAAATGTGGTGATGTCTATGAACTTCTTGGAGTCTGCCTAGGGAAACCCCTGTCCAAGTGCACAAGGAAGGAAGATCAATTCTGTTCATGACAACCCTGTACAGGTAAAAAGCTAGAAACAGCCTCAGGGCACTGGTAACCAGGCCTTGGTATCGCCAGGCAGCAATGAAAAGAATGCCAGTAAGTCTGAATTTACTAACGTGGTTCGTTCTCCAAGATGTATGTTGAGTGAAAAAAAGCAAAGTTTAGACTCCAATCAACGTGACACTATAAAAATACACACATATACCCGCTCTCAAGTATATGTACACAATTTTAAAAAACATGGAGTTATATTTATATATGCATTTGGTAGAGACCAGATCTGGAAGGATCACTGGTACTGGGAGGAGGGGAGTGTAAGAAGTGGGTTTGGGACTTGACCTGTATCTGTGAGATATTTTAATTTTTTTCAATGATAGCCTGTTCATGTGGTCCTTGTGCCATTAGAAATTAACTGTAAAGATGATACTCGTGTGCGTTTGTACAGTCAATGGAGAAGAGCTTCTGCAGTTCTCAGCTGTTACCTGCAGGAGGCCTGCGAACTTGACCACTCCCCAGCCAAGCCTGGACACGTCGGGCTCCACCAAACTCATCTGGTAAATATCGACAGCCAGGAATCGCTGGACCATGCCGCCATCCTTGGTGATCACCGTGCACGCAATCAGGTCGCTGTTGTCTGGGAGGAGGGAGACAGAGCAGAATGAGGCGCTGTCTAGTTCCCAGCCTGATGGAGACTCAAGCTGACTCATGCTCTGCTGGACAGCAGAGTTCAGTGGTCAGAGTCCAGGCTTGAAATCACACATTCCTGGGTCTGAGTCCCTCCTATGAGTCACACTGGGCAACTTTCTTTACCTGTCTGGGTTTCAGATTCCTCGTTTAAAAATGGGGATAATGTCCATCCCTCTCAGGGCACTATCTGTGAGGCCTGATATAAAGTACACACAGCAATAGTGCAATGTTTACTACACTTTAGGCGCGCAGACTGCAGCTGAAGAAATAAACCAAAAATCTCGGGAACATTTCAGCGCTTCCTTGCAGACGGACCACTGTGATGGTGTTTGCCTAAATTAAGTGAAGAAGCAAAGGAAGAGTCCCCTGCTCGGTTACAGAACCACCAAGCCCTCAAGTTGGTGTCTGGCCACGAAGAGCTGAGCTCTGCACTAGATGGTGTGTGATCCTGGGCAAGGCACCTGGCCCCTCTGATGGAAATCATGTCCCCTCTTACGAGATGTTTGGTGCATTAAATGAGAAAAAGCAGGTAAAAAATTTAGAACAGGGTCCTCAGTGTATGCGGGGTCCCTTCTCTTATTTGAAAGTTATCTCCAAATTCGATGTCTAATTTAGTGCCTATTCTGATGACAATGAAATCACCAGGACCATTCAATCTCTGGCCAGCTCGAGTTCCCCCCAGTGGAATCCTCTGCTACATGTCTAAAAAGAAACAGCCAAACCAGGAAACAACCTAAATTTCCCCAAACAAGGGAACATTTTGAGTATGACTTTTCCCCATCACATGGAAAATTATACACCCATTTAAAAATTATGTTTAACCAAACTGTGAGCAGTGGTTACCTATGGGGAGGGAAGTGAGAACTAGAGGTAGGAGTGTGTGTGTGATTGGTGGGGGAGGGGAAATATCAATGAAAGAGCTTTAATTTTTGCTCTATACATAACTGTTTTGCTTGAAATTATCTTAAAGTAAGAAAGTATTCAAGATACACATTTGAAATACATATTAAAAAGCCAAGTAAAATATCCTCTTTACAAATACTTGCAGTGACATTGGAAAAGACATTAAAATTTTAAATGAAAAAGAGGGTGAAAATATTCTTACTATGATTTTGATATATTAAAAAAAGATATCCCTACAATGAAATACAAGTGCAGAGAAATATACTAAAATGTTAAAAGAAGTCTCTGATTAGAAGACTGGTAGGTGGTTTTTCTACCCACACCTTTGAGGTAAAATTTTATATCATAAAATTTACCCATTTTAAGCATTCAGTTTGCATTTTAGTAAATTTACAGTTGTGTATAACTACATCCCAGCTGTAGACCCCTACCCAGATAATTTCTATCAGGAGCACTGTAACCTAATATTCAGCTTAAATTTAGTGGTGGTAGGGGAGTGGAGGTAACACAGAAGGTATAAATTCTGGCCCCAAACACATGGGATAACAAACTTGGGCTCAGGTACTCACCAAGGTTCCCTCCTCCCATTTTACTTTTCTTTTAGGTCTAAGGGATGGCAGATAAATGTCCCCTCTCTCTCAGGCACCTTCCCCACCCCCATGCACACTTCAGTTTAATCCTCTGAGAGCATAATCTATCTGGGATTGTGGCTTCATGGGGATGAATGTCTTCCAATCCACCTTCTCGGCTTTTCCAGGCCTTGAGTTTCTGTCTATTCTTCCTAGCATATGCCAGAGGCTCCCATGGCAAATACCAGCACCAGACAGGCTTAGCTCTCTGGGCTGCACTTTCTTACTACCTAGGGCAAGAATTTTCCTCCCTTTCCCAACAGTCCAGCCAAGTATTTAAAAAAATTTCTAAAAATTATTTTATCCAGAATTTCTGGTTCCACACGGGAAGACATCTATATTATCAGAAGTGTAAGTCATCATTTTCATTCTTATAAGCATACTAAAGGCCTGGTGCACAAAATTCGTGCACCGGGGGGGCGGGCTCTCAGCTCAGCCTGTGCCCTCTCACAGTCCGGGACCCCTCGCTCCTTACCACCTGCCTGCTCGCTGCTGCGGAGGCAGGAGAGGCTCCCGCCACCACCGCTGCACTCGCCAGCCGTGAGCCCAGCTTCTGACTGAGTGGCGCTCCCCCTGGGGGACACTGACCACCAGGGGGCAGTTCCTGCGTTGTGCGTCTGCCCCCTGGTGGTCAGTGCGCACCATAGCGACTGGTCATTCTCATCATTCCGCCGTAAGGGTCACTTAAGCTTTTATTATATAGATTCTTTGTGGTAGGTAGAGTTTATTTTCTTTACTCAATACTTAAGGCATGTTCTTCAATGGGAATCTTTTACTTTTTAAAAATAGGAAACAAAACTAAATGAAAAGAGCATGCTTTTCCTTTCCTTTTCCCCCTTTCTCTACCCCCTTCTCTCCCCTCTAAACAGGATAACTGCCTTCTTTTATCAGTGGGGTGCAATGACAGTGGGGTTTGTCAGCAGGCAACCCCCTCATAAAGCCCAGAAGCCTCAGGGGCTTCGGGGGAAAAAGACCTACCACCTCTGCCACAAAGAACAAAAAAAGGAAGAACTAAACCCCAAAGCGGAACAACTTTCAGCAATGCAATTGAGGCATCAAAGCCCTGTGAGAAATTTCATAAGAAAACTAAAAGCAGCTGTCACCATGAGACAGGACCGCTCGGAGTGGGAGGAAGCCCTGGCTTTTCAGAACCTGTGGGGCAGTTAAAGAGAAACACAGCAGCTTCTGAGGCCAGGGCTGAGGTACCAGGAGATAGGCAACTCTGTCAGGGTGCATGGCGGCCTCATGAGCCTGCCTCTCAGGAGTGGCCTGTGGCCAGGGGAGGCCAGTGCAGGTGACAGGTCCTCCATACACCAGCACTGCCCACCTGAATCTCTGGGTCCTTCTCCCACCAACCCCACTTCAAAAGGGGACAGGTGCGCTGGCTGATTTGGCTCAGTGGATAGAGCATTGGCCTACGGACTGAAGGGTCCCAGGTTCAATTCCAGTCAAGGGCATAGGCCTGGGTTGCGGTCTCGATCCGCAGTGGGGGGTGGGCAGGAGGCAGCCAGTCAATGATTCTCTCTCATCATTGGTGTTTCTATCTCTCTCTCCCTCTCCCTTCCTAAAATCAGTAATAAAATAAATAACAAATAAAAAAGGACAGGCCTAGGACTCTATTGAAAAGAAAATTACAGAGAATTGTCAGAAGACAACATAGGAGACTAGCCTTATGACCTCAGGGGAAGGAAATAATTTCTTTATAAAGAAATAAGAATCAATACATACAAATAAATATATATCTACACTAATAAAAGAGAAACATGGTAATTAGCGTACGACCGCTACCCTTTTCATTGGCTAATCAGTGAGTATATGCAAATTAACTGTCAGTCAAGATGGCGGCCAGCAGCCAGGCA